CGATATACATATAAAATGCAGAAATATAATAGGGATGGTGTTAAAAAGATGCATAATGATAATTTTAAGAAAGGGAAAAGTGAGTGGAAGAAATTGGAGAAACAATCAGTACCAGAAGGGGTAACAATTGGGTGTGTTGTTTGGTCAGGCTGGGCGTGGGCGTGGAGTAGTGCCACGTGGCCGAATCGGTGGCCCGCAAACCCGTGGGCCGGTCAGGGGGGGACGCAACCCCGCAGCTACAGGGGCCCGTGGGGTCCAGCGGCTGGCCGCTCGTGGGGGGGTCCGCGCCAAGGGAAGTTTACCAGGTGAGGATGGTCTGTATCTCCACAATGTATCATCTTTTATCTACTTAATTTATATTTATAATCTTTATACTTATACTTTCTTTCATTTAATCTTATATTCCGTTTAATCCATCTTATTATTTTATTAATTAATTAATTTTTTTATTTTTTAATCAACGTCACTAGAATCATTTATTCCTTCCTTGCTTTTTTTCTGTTAATCCTCTTCTTTTTTATATAAGATACATCTTCCATTTAACCTATTATCAAATTACTATTAATTAATATTTAATATTAATTATAGAAACATTGTATCGGTATGGATCACTTGCTTTTATATTTATATCGGTTTTTAAAGGAAATGTAAATTTTATTTTGTTTAAACGTGTTATAAGAAAGGGAATAGTAATATGTTTATGTTGAAGACTATTATTATTTATAATACTAATTTTATATTATATTTCGCATATTCTCACAGCTTACAGCATTAGCACTTCTTGCTAGTTTGCTATTGTATTGATTATATCCTTCTTATCTTTTCTTCGCATAAGGATTATAAAATAAACATTAGTTAATATGTTCAAAGTAGTACAATGCTCGTACATATAGTAGTATTAAATTCTATATATTACATTTATTCATTATTTTTGTATTCAATGAAAAAAAAAAGATGGACGTTTTTGATATTGTTTATATATCGCACAATTTACAGAAAATGTATCTAGCTATATAAATAGCTCCTATCAAGTAAATTGACACATTGAATCTTTCATTTGATTATGTTTAAAAATAGCTCCCGCAAGCTTTGCAATTTAGTAAGATTAAAAATAATTAAAAAAAATAATGTCTAATTTTATTTGCGTTTTTTTCTTCATTTACAGATTTGCTAATGAACAGATTTTCAATGAGCGCAAGATGCTTTTGATGAAAATCGTATAATATTTTGATTTCAATATGATTGCACGTTTCTATTCAATATCACGGAATTCCATATGATTCATATTACAGTAAAAGATTTATCCTGCTTTCCTTCCATCCTGTATTCTACCCATCCGACGTTGATAAGAATCTAGGTTAGTTGTTAATGGACCAATATTATTATTAAATATATATATATAATATATATATATATATATATATATATAAAATTTTATATATATATAAACAATTTCTAATTATACTTTTACATTAACAAAACAAAATTATTCTATCTCATTTTACAATGTAAAAACATTAATTAGAATCATACAGTTATTTATAATATCGCAATATGATTCTAATTAACATATTTTTTGTTTTTGTTTTTTTTTCTTCTTACAAAAACCTATTTGCGTTATATCTGAAAAAATTCATATTCAGAAAAATCCCGAAATTTCTGAAGAGGAAAATAGAAATTTGACTTGCAGTAAATAAAAATAATAATATCATGAAAGATCTTTTTTGTTGCTTTCCCTGAGAGGTATAAAATTCTTTTTGTTCTTTTTTTTTTTTATTTTAGATATTTTTTTTTTTTTTTTTTTTTTTTTTTTTAATTAGGAACCTAAACAACATCATTACGCGAATATTATCAATATAACAAAGAAATATTATCTTTCACAGCAGGTAAACGAAAATTTGACGGGGGTCACCAGAACCAGGGGGAATCTAAACGTCGCTTCCAGAGCAACTGGGGAAACCAACCCCTCGCCCAACAACCACTGGGCAATGCGTACGGATTGGCGAGTGTGAATGGTGGCAGTGGTGGTGGTGGCGGTGACATAGGATTTGGAGGAAGATCTGCAGCGCTCGGCGGCGTTTCTGGCGATGATCACGAATGGTATCAAGACTCATATCAATCGTGGAGCTAACTTCTGCGTGTATGTGAGTGAATACACACGAACATACGTATATTGATATAAACAAAAAAAAAAGCGCGTCACAAGAGATATAGAAAGTGCGAAAGGGAGAGAGAGAAAGAGAGAGTGAGTGAGAGAGAGAGAAAGAGAGAGAGAGAAAGAGAGAAATAGCATGCAGGGTTAAAAAAAAAGAAGTATAGAAAAAAATGAAAAGTTAGCGCAGAAGAGAGGTTTACGACGAGAAAGAGAAATCAATCTGTACTATTAATTCTTTTTAATCGGAATTATTGTAAATGTTTTCACAAGAAAATGAAACAAAAAAAGGGAGAAAGAGAGAAAGACAAAAAAAAAATATAACGGAGTTCGTGCTCTGCGCCACCACCATCGCCCGCTGTTGTTGTGATTATGTACAGTGATGTGCCACTGGGACTAATTATTACATCGGAGTGACCACCCACCCACCCCGTACTATTATTATATTACGATAATACTAATACTAATATTAAGTACCACTACTGCATTGTCACATTGTTTACTGCCAAGTGTTAAAGAACAGCGATGTTGACATTCGGATTGTGATGGCTCGTATTAATTAAGAGAACTCATGGAAGCCTGCGGTTTTTATTATGCGATGAGACTAGATTTTTTTTGAATCTATGCAATGATGAATGAGTAACGTGTGCGTTTTAGATAGAGTTTATAGTTGTGAGGAGATTTTTGAGGAGGAGGAGGTGGTGGAGGAGGGGAGGGGAGGAAAGAAAAGAAACAAAAAAGTTCAGTGTGAAAGTAAATAAGTGTGTATGTAAGAGGCACAACGTGATTGAAAAGGAAACATAAAGCGCCAAAGGAATGATAAAAAAAGGAGGAAGAATGTTTAGGGGCGTGGTTAGATAGGAAAGGCGCGAGCCATTAACGAGTGAATGAGTGGGAGAGAATGTGATAAACGTATGTGTGTGAAATCTTGAACGAATTCGCTTATAGAGCGGGGATTAGAAAAGATGATAATAATAATGAAAGAAAAAGAAAAAGAGAGGCCGAGTAACAGTTGGAAGAGAAAGGGTGTCCTTTAAAAAGGAGCGTGTCTTTTTTGTGTGCGTATGTGTGAGTGGTAGAGCGCGCCAAGCGCGCGGCTAGACCTTCTATTGTTGGTCTATAAATGTGTACAGTCAGTGAAACTATTATTATTAAGGGTCGGGCAAGCTTTGCGAAAGTAGAAAAAGCGAAACGTTTGTTAGCCAATGGCTCTGCGGGTATCTCCCAGGTTCGTTCGGTTATGAGATATAGTTATGACGAGAAAGGAAAAAAAGAGATCTATTTGGTCAAAAGTATTGCTCATGATTGAGGAAAAAAAAAAGAAGAAAAAAAACCCACTTGTACAGTAAATTTTTTCAATGGCAGTATCGGAAGTATAGCGAGGGTAAAACTCGGATCTAAATTATATTTGTATTTATTTGTTGATGTGTTTTTTATAATGAAAAGAGGAAGTTAAAAAAAATCCGTTGACGGCTAAGAAAAAAAAAAAAAAAAAAAAAAGTAGGGAGAAAAAGAAAGAGAGAAAGTGGATAAGGAATTCTGGAAGAAACCTTTTCTAATTTTTTAGATAAAAAAAACAAAAAAAAAATAAGAAGAAAAAGAAAAAAAAAAGATGTTAGTTCGCCCAATTATTTTTATTTTATTTTTTATTTTTGCCAAATGCACAGAAAATGTTTTTAACGATTGATATTGACTGGCTAGAAATTTGATGATTTATAGTTATGAATCGAAGTAGGATTACAAAATGTACGCAAAAGTTTTAAAATGCATGAACACATACAGCACACGTTTTGAGTGTTGACTTGTTGTTATTGTTAGCCTGTTAGTTAATTAGTAAGAGTTGTAAGTGCGGGCTGTAGTTGGTCCCTGTCCCTGGAGCCCAGACACCCCCTGTTCTGGAGATTATTTGAAAAGGACAAAAAGAGCATACGCAAAACAATTTATATTTTACACGCACCCCCGAACACGAAGTTAAATAAAAGAAAGAAATAAAGAAATAAAGAAATAAAGAAATAAAAAAAGAAAAAAAGAGAGAAAGAAAGAAAGAAAAAAGGAAGGAAAAAAAAAGAAAGAAAGAAAATTATAATGGACGACTGCATATCAAACCTCTGCTGTTTAATTGCACACTAATGAAACGAGGCTATCGTATTATAACGTTAGCCTAATTTGATATGAAATAATATCAGTAGGATGGACGAATAATCATGCGATCGAAAGAAATCGGTTATAATGACGTGTATCCGCCATTGACTACCCGAATAAGATTTATCTGAATATCGTGTTATGAGAAAGCACATGAGATAAATGGTCTTACACATAACGAAAGTATGAAACAAATAGACGTAACCATGGACAAAATGTCTGGATGATAATCGATTGCTCGCAAACCCTCGTATTTATGAGCATTTTGTTAATTTTTATTCATGTTTTACTTAAGTCTAGTTTTTTTTTGTCGTCGTCGATACCGTTTTGTTATTGGCGATTTAAGCAACATCTAGTAGTAATCATTAACTTCTCCTCTCCATTCTTACTTCCTGTCCCCAATTCACGATCATTGTTTAAAAAAGAAAAAAGAAAAAAAAAAAGAAAAAAAAAAAAACTACCAATCCCAAGATCAAAAATATTACATTAATAACCATTGCCATCTTTCATTCCTCCTGTCCCCCTTTTTACTCATTATCCAATTACCGTATTTTATATCTACCTACCTATTCTACTTACCTACACACATCCTATTTATAAAAGCATAATATCGAGGATATAATACTATTAATATTAACAATATAATAAGGATGATATTGCTAATCATACTGAGTGGGTTTTTGTGACATGATAATATTTCAATATTAAAAAAAAAAAAAAAAAAAAGTAATTCTGGTTTCTCCGAAATTGTAAGTAAAGGATGATGGTATAAAAGCAAGGAAAAAAAATATATTGTAGAATGGCAAAGATAGAGAGTTTCGGCTTGCGGGGGCAAGGAAGCTTAACTGGCAAAAGCGGAGGCAGTTCACGGTGACGAGACTTTAGACTGATCTAGGTACTAGCGTTACGATATTGGCCCCGCCCCGGCTTATAAGGCGCCCCAAAAGTATCACTCACCTCCTCTTTTATACTCTTACCGGTGTGGCAGCTGGGGTGCCTGGGGGGTTGTCGGTCGCATTTAGGATAATGCACCACTGTGGCTGGCGATGCTATGGCCACACACGCGCCCTTTTACCCGGCCAATGCCCTAATTCGCGGTTTACACATCCTTGGGAAACTTGACTCTTTTTGGTTGGCCCGTATCAGGCGGATGTTGTGTGATTTTTGGGTCGATCAATTTATGTTAATTACGACCCAAAGACGTGTTTTTTAATTATATATAAATATATTATATATTATATTCCTGCGAATATGCATTTTGTGACGTGATGTTATTTAGCAGTAATAAGAAAAGGAAAAAAAAAATGATGAAACAAGGGAAAAAGAAAAAAGAAAACATCTAAAAAAAAAACAAACAGAACGAACGAACGAACGAACATGTTATGTTTCGCGCCACATGTCAGCTCCACGGCTATATCAAAAATCGAATAGACCAGAAATTTTTACAACCAAAAATTCTTATCTCATTACTGGATCATGTTGTTCAAATTTATATATATATATATTTATATATATATATAAATTTCTTTTTTTTTCTAAGTTATCCATCTACCAATTGCTTTGCTTTTTTTTTTTAATTTCCCGCAATTTAAAAGTTGCCTCTAATTTTAGTGTGACGTAGTTAAACATAATGATTAATAACGAATTTAAAAAACAATGTTAAAATGGTTCCTTTTTTCGGGCTAGGAGCTTGATTTAAAGTGTCAAAGATTTTTGTGTATGACCAGATGTATTCTACATGTCTCAATAAACAGTTGTATGTGAATTACCTTTCATAATCACTGTTATCAGTTATTTTCATCAACTTATACTTATCCATCTCTTATTCCCCCCTCTACCATCGCATAATTAATAATAATAATAATAGTAATAGTAAAAATACTCGATTAGATTGTAAGGTAAAATTAAAAAAAATAACGAATACAAAATAAAATCTAACTTGATTAAATATTATAAGAAAATTATTACAGGGAATATCTTGAACAATTTTTATAAGATTTTGAAGGAGCTTTAACGATCATGTTTTCAACCATGAACATCATCACACGATTCTTTATAATTAGCAAAAGAAGAAGAAGAAGAAGAAGAGGAAGAAAAAGAAAAGGCAACTTTGTCACGTTCGAGTAATTTTGCCGCGAAAAAACATTCCTCCCACTCGGTATCGCAATCATCCCCTTCTACTCAAAGGTCTAGCCAATAAGGACGCACCACTCACACCACTGCAGCCCCCTTGTGACGACCTCTGTCGGTAGCGAAAGAGGGTGTGTTAGGTTAAACGGTGAGGCGATTGTCATCGCGTCGTTCTTCGTGCCGATTAAAGAGCCGACTTAGACGATACTTGCACCTCTGCGGGTGCTTTTTCGCGTGTATTTGCCAGTGATGGTTCCGCGTTGCTTCCATTACCTTGACGCCCTTATTTTCTACACCGTTAATAACCAAGAACAAGAAAAGAAACAGAAACAGTGCACGGTAAAATGAAAAAGAAAAAAAAAAAAAAAGGAAAGAAGAAAACCTATATATAATAGATAAAAATTAAGCCGATCAAATGCTAATAAAAAAAATTAAATTTATTATTTACTTTCTAAAAATAAATTTGTATGCATTTTACGCCAAAACGGTGATCGAATTTTATAAAAAATATATCTGTCCAAAATGTCAATTAACTAGTTCATTAAAGTAGAATAATAAATAATAAGATTAAAAAAAAAGAAAAAAGAAGTTCATGAATGTCCTCGTTTTTGGCGTAACTGCATGTATATATATATTTTTTTTTTTCCAAGATAAAACGAGCTTTGAAGAAGTTAAATGTTTTAATTTGTTGTACACAGATATATTATGTATATTGAGAGAAAGAGAGAGAGAATGGTGCGTGCGTCGTGCGTGCGTGTGCGTGCTTGCCTCGTGTGTGCATGCGTGCTACCAGTGGAAAAACGGATCCTTGACTTTAACATACGGTAATGGTATCTTTTATTAAAAGAATTCTCTCGAAAGAGAATCCTTTTCATCCTTTGGATCTTATTCGATATGCACGGTCGGGTTTATATGCCGCAGAGGGGTGGTGACCCGAACTCTAACGGGTGGGACCATGATACACATATACTTTTGCAACCTACATGTATGGGACATTGGTAGTGTCCCAAATATGTGGGATTACTTTAAGATATATATACACACACATATACACAAATACATATATATGTTTTTTTCTCTAATAAACTGGGTCAATTAGATAGTTCTTGTTGTTTAATTACTTCTTTGAAAAGAAAAAAAAATTATAATAATAATAATAATAATTGGAGGTACTGTTATTGACCTTATTATCACCCTTTGTTAAGCATATGGGTGCGGTTTTGATTTATTTATATTTTTTCTCTATTTTTTTCTGTTTTTGTTTTCGACCTTTTTTTTATTTGTCTTTTTTACTGAAAACTCGTTCACGTTTTATTACTCTTTCAAGTAGTCATATTTATCGGGAGGAAAAAAAAAGAATAGAGGGAAAATGACGTTCGATCGTTCCACCCTCCAGGATATGAAAAAGAATGTGCCTTGTTCAAGGGCGTGGCAAATTCGTTATGCTGATCGTTGGATCAGTTTAATTCAAATATGATACTTTTAATGATCGTTCTTATGTAGGTCAGTGACGATACAAAAACATGACCTTATTTTTTATTTTTTTTATTTTTTTAGTCTTCATAAAATAATAATCATTGGAAACCTTTAATTGTTATATTAAATTCTTTTTTAATTTTTCGAGTATTCATATTTAGTTATATTATTAAAATTATTTATTGAATTTATTGAATATTATTGCAAATGTTTCAATATGTACTAACTACTTTTTATAAATATTTAAAATTTCTTGAAAATATAACAATATTTGTGTTATTATTTGTTCGTCTAAATATTGCAGAGATTTATTTGAAATTCAGCGGCATCTTGATCCATACGCACGTACGTGGCACAAAACTAATACTTCGTAAAAACTTCAAGCCTCGTAAATATGTATATGTATTTATCCATAAGTCTAAATCAGGCTTGTCGAAAAACTGTTTTTTTATGTTAAAATATCCTCGTTTATATATTTTATAATAAAGAAAAAATTACATATGATAAAAAAAAAAAGATTCACTAACTGTGAATCGAATGTAAACGTCATTATTTTTAATTATTTTACTTGGAAAGACGAGTGATAGAAGGGAAGAGAGTTTTTATGTAAAGTTGTCAAGTGCGATGAAGGATGAGAATGACCATAAATACTTAATTCAATACCTCTGATCTAAGCAATTGATTATTCTTTTTTTTTTTCATTCAATATTTTTAACTTACGTAGGGATGTCTATAAAATATTGATCATACTTTACAGATGATCTTTTGGATCAGTTTTCCTTATTCTTCCTATGTGTGGAATAGACACTGACGATATGGTAATTATTGTTATTAATCTTTATTGACTACTGTATTTTATCATATTTATATAAAAATATGAAGATAATTTTATATACATGTCCATATATTATATATTTCTTATAAGAAATGTAATTATTATCACAGGATGCAGTATGGCTTCAGTACTTTGGCATATCTCTGGAAATAGTTATGCTTCTCCTGCCTTTGTCTTGCTCTTACTGTTACTCTGCCCACACAATACTACAGGTCAGTATTATTATTATTTTTATTATTATTATTATTATTATTATTATTATTATTATTATTATTATTATTATTATTATTATTATCATCATTATTATTATTATTAAATATAGGCATAACATAATATTAACATGCATAATTAAACATAGAAGATTGGATAATGATAATATTTTAGGATATTTTATTTAAGGATAAAATCCTGTTTTACAAATACTCAATATATATTTTGTTTAGATAGTTTTCAATTACTAATAAGATTTTTAAAAGAATTATAATCTTTTTTAATTCTGTATTAATATGGTATGGTGTGTTCCCGGTGGCGGTGGATATTGTTGGGGTTCTTTGATTCATCATCATTCCTGAATTCAGCCCGTGAGGTAATTGAGGCTCCACTGCCACAGCAAGACCACATTCCATCACTGCCACCACCACCGGGACGTCTCACCACTGCCAAAACACCAAGTACGTTATTTATTTTGGTTCAATAAAATAAATCATAATAGTTTAAATATTATCACATCATAAATATATGTCAAAATAAGAATTTTTATTCTTAGAGATGCTATGGATCCATTTATGTAATAATATTTATACTGCATTTGTATGCCATAACTATATTTTACAGATGAGCTTTTATAAACACATTTATTAAAATTATGATTTATGAATTACAATATGTTTACATTGTACTATATTTGTTTTTAGAGTGTGATCAAAAATTTATAAGCACTCCTGATGGGCCCCAAAATGGAACTTTCTATGCACCTGCACTGATAAATCTAGAAGGAGAATCTCGGCAGTGCGTTTACACGTTTTTAGCAGGACCACGTCAACGCGTGGAACTTATTTTTACTACATTTGGTCTTCGAGGCACACCACCAGCGTAAGTAATATAACAAATGATTATTGATTATAATATATTTCTTTCTAAATTGCTGTCCTAAATGTATTTCTGCTGCCTATAGTGGATCTGCTGTTGGAGAATTACCTGCGTGAGTTCCATTTTTTATGAATGTTTATTAAAATATTAAGTTCTATCCAATAATTCAAGAGAATTTTATAACCGTTTTAATTTTTTTATAAAAAATTTTAATATTGTTTTTCTTTTTTTCAGTTGTAGCCATGAATACATGGATATATATTCGGAAATTCGTTCAGAAAACACTACCAAGTTAATAGAAACACCATTTGGAGGTCGTTTCTGTGGCCCTATTCCTCCTCGAAAACGTGTTTCTCTTTATCAAGGCATTGCTCTCAGTTTTTATACTGACAAAAATATAACGTTACCTAGCTTATTCAGTGGGAAATATACTTTTATCAATGCATGTAAGTTGTTTAAGAAAGAAAACATGTAAAAATAAATGAAAGGCTTTTTTATTGAATATATGATTATAAATAAATTAATGTTATATTTATATAGCTGAATTCGAAGTTGGAACACCAGTACCAAGTGCACCATGTTCTTTCACAGTAAATTCAGATGCTAAACGTACTGGAAACATATTATCTCCCACTTATCCAGGAACTTATCCAAAAGATCTTGCATGTAGTTATCAATTCATTGGAAAAACAAGTCAAAGAATACGCTTGGAGTTTCGAGATTTTGACTTATTCTTTGGTGGACCGCAGTATGTATTTTGATTTCATAATATTTTTTTATAACATATAGGAATAATGAAATGAAACAATGTTATATTACAGTTGCCCTTTGGATTACGTAAAAGTATATGATGGGCTCGACAATTCATCTGCTGTTATTGGAACATATTGTGGGCAACAACGAAATTTGGTGTTATATTCATCAGAATCCAGTCTATTTGTATTATTTGTTACTCTTCAGCGTACAGCGAATACACAAAATCGTGGTTTCAAAGGAATTTTTGAATTTTCAGAAAGTTTTGTTAAATTAGGTAAATATTTATATATACATATACATATATTTTAAAGATATAAGCAAAGATTAGATTTAAAATTCGTAATTACCTTCTATGTTTAGACTTTATAATCAGTTATAATGGTGAACATATACGAGGATCGGAATGTGATCAGAAGATTTTAAGTAAAAAAAAATCTTCTGGATTTGTGGTTAGTCCTAATTTCCCGTTTCCTTATATGCCAAAAGTTGTATGTCGTTATTTTATTTATGGAATGCAAGATTCACAACATCTTGAACGTGTTCGCTTGGAATTTGTATCATTTGAAATTCCAAAAAGTGAGGCTAAAGGAGAGTACGTATAATTATATAAATATATTTACATTATAATTATAATTATATACAACCATATATAATTAAAATTATATTTTTTTGCTTGTTGTTTATAGTTCAGCATGTACCGATGGTTACTTAAAACTATATTTGAAAGGTCAAGAAGCAACAGATTCTTATGATAAATTTGATTATGAATTATGTGGTATGAAAAGTAATCCAGAAAATGTAGTTAGCGATGGCCCAAGACTTGTTATGGTATTCAGTAGTGGAGAATTGCAAGGGAAAGGTTTTAAAGCACGGTAAATATCAAAATATATCAAAGAGAAATATATATTATATATGTTTGTAATATATGTTTTTATATATTCTACTCTTTTTTATATATTATAGGTATACATTTGAAACAGAATATAAAATACCTGGAACAGCAGAACCAGATGGTACTTGTACATTTAAATACAGAAGTTCCTCTCGAAAAAGGGGAGATTTTAATTCCCCGCGATATCCTAGTAATTATCCAAGTGATACAAATTGTACTTATTTCTTTTATTCAACGCCAAATGAACAAGTGACATTGATCTTTGACCATTTTAAAGTTAGAACCAAAAATTTGAATGTAACGTCCGGTCACTATGGGTGAGATAAAAAAAATAATTTTCCAATCTATATTAAAAGATTGGAATTGGAATACTGTAATATAGATTACGTTTTTAATTCTATCCTTTTACAGGTTTGAATTATGTCAAGATGACTGGTTAGAAATTTATATTATGTATCGCGATAATACAGAAAAATTAATAGGCAGGTATTGCGGTATGACTGCTCCAGGACCAGTAGAATCAACTCTTGGTGCTCTTGGTTTAAAAGTAATTTTACATTCAGATTCCGAACTTGTTTATAGCGGATTTAAAGCGCGTTATACTTTTGAGGTAGCAAAACCAATTTTTGGAGGTAAGAAATTAAAGAATATAATATTCATTTATTACTTCATTTAATATCATAATATTGTAGATTGTGGATCAAATATTAGCAGTCTGAATTATGGAGTAATAACTAGTCCTAACTTTCCAAATAAATATGATGGGCCGTCGAAAAATTTTGCCAGTAAAACATGTAATTGGTTCATAAGAGTACGACCGAATCAACAAATATTATTGAATTTTGATAAATTTTCTGTAGAAGGTGATCAAACTGGTAAGTAATAAATACGTATGTATTATATTGTCTTTTTACATACATATATATTATATCATTTTTTTTTAAATGTTTCTTTAGCACGAGGTTGTCCTGCAGCAGTACTACGTATGTGGTATTCTAGTTCGTCCACGCCACTTGAGCTTTGTGGTGTTAAAAATGGTGATTCCAAGTGGAGCTTTTTATCAGAAGATAATAATATGCGTCTTAGGTAAATGTTTATTTCTTATATTCTTTCAAATAACTTTATGTTATAATGATACTAAATAAATATTGTACATAATATTTACAGTTTCATATCAGCAGATAAAGCGGTTGGACAACATGGTTTCAGAGCAATATGGACAGAGATAAATAAAAATAGTAATTGTCCAAATCAATTTCTTTGCAGCAAAAATAAGTATTGTATTGCAGAAACGTTGAGATGTAATAATATCAAAAATTGTGGGCCGGACGATTCATCGGACGAAGAGAACTGTAAGTTTTGAAAATAATAGATATTTTCAAAATTTTCTTTTAATGTATTTTGATGTTGTCTTTTGCTTATACGATTTCTATATTCACGTGAATTATTCATATATAGTAGCGTAGTACAATTGTGGTTATTACTGATTTTCACATTAAAATTTGTATGTATTCTTATTATATATTTAATACCATGTATAAATGGTTCACAAATGTATTATAAAAAAGTAATTAAAGGACGCACAAATAATTTGGTGTGAAGTCTGTTAATAACTACATTTGTACATGGAAGTGTCTTTCTCTCTCTCTCTCTCTCTTTTTCTATATATATATATATATGTATATATATATATATATATATATATATATATATATATATATATATATATATATGTTTTCTTTTTGTATTATGGAATTTTTAAATATTTTATTAACATTATATGACGAGATACATGACTCGTTCAGTATTAATGAAATGAATGTATTTATTAAAGGTATAAATGCAATTTTATCTTATAATCTTATTTATTTTTCTGGACACAGTAAAAACATTAATGTTTCCAGGAAAATATATTATATATTAAATATTATACAATCGTTCTTGATATATTTTTTATTTTTTATTATTTTTAAATTTAATAGCTTCCCTTATAATCTCTCTTTCTAAATCTTTATACTATTCACTACTATCACATACCTGATAAAATCCCAAGCAAATATACATATACCACATAAAATTTGTAGATACTGCACGAAGCATGTATTATCATGTTTGTTTCAATAAAAGAGAGACGAGTGTTTTATAAATTATATGTATATATGCAGTACATATATAGTTATTGAATAAATTATAAAAAAATTAATTCTTAACAAAATATAGAATACATAATAATCGATTCCAAAGCGTCGATAACACAAAAGTCACTCATAAAAAAAGATGATACGCGATGCCTATACATACTAAATTTTAACTTCTGGGTAAGTAGTTGTACACGTGTGTACAGGTGAGAGAGTGGTAGGATTGAGCGGATGAATGCTTGTGTGGTGTCGCAGGTGCAGCATCAGCCCCATTGTCACCAGCACTGGCTGGAGTCTCTGCCATGCTTCTTCTCTCTCTGTGCTTTGTGTTCGTGGCCATCTGAGCCCCTCATGAAGCTTCCGACGATCCGGCATGTTATGATCTCCCTTATCACGTGAGTTCTCTCACAGTATTGCACATCATACCACATGAAATTCTTGAAGTGATTGATGTGTTTCCAATAAAAACGGTTTTCCTTACAGCAATTGCTGAGTCATTGTTTTTTGATAGACAAGTTTTGTTAACATTATGCAGCATTAATAACATTAAAAACATTAACGACAGTTAGTATTGGTCATTGATATCAACGAATATGAAATATGTATTAGGATACTAAACTTAAACAAATTTTTTTTTGCTAATCGTACTACCCATATTAATTTTTCAAACCTGTTTTACAGGAAATATTATATGGTGTCATTTACTTCTTGTAAAGAAAATTTACTTCTTGTAAGAAAAATACAATAATTTTTGATCACTACAACAACATAAAATCGGCAATTTCTACAATACATAATTTCTTTAAATATTAAAATTATATGTGGTAACACTGAAATCAAAAAGCATGCAGGATGCTATTTATTATATCCCTCTTAATCATATAAATGCATGTGTTTTTATATTCTTTTTGTGAGTCTTGCAAAATACTTCCTGAATTGTATTGTTGACCTCTTTCTCTTGTAGTTTCCATCAATAACCTTTGAAGTTTGCAAATAAAAATTTATGATCATCTATATTGACACCAAAACCCTTCTAAAAACTCTAGCACTATAGAAATTGTAATGAATTCTATTTGTTAGATGTATTGTGATCAACAATTTTATTGTGTTTAGGTGCTTCAATGATATAAAAAAAAACAAAGTTTGTACATATTGATAAGATGTACATAGATATTTCATGTGAGCTTTAAGAAAATACTGGATTATATATATAACAATACACAGTCAAACAGACTTTATTCATAAATTTACAGGTGCTGCTATGGTACCAACAGATAGCTATCTCATCCCAGCAATATCTGCTGCAGCTTCTATTTTAGTTGTTCTGTTTGTATGCCTGCTATGTCACAAACTTAAAAGACCTATTCAAGAAGTTCACATTGATGATCTACATCAACGTGTAGAAGAACGTCATCACTGCTATCACCATCATACTCTTCTGCAACATCACCAAGATCATATTCATGAATTTAATCAATATCAACTTGAACAACCAAGCCCACCTAGTGACAGTGACGCTGAACAAGTATGCGGTGATGAAACAAGTAGTCCAGATAGTGTGTGACCGTGGCCACTTGCAGCGTGGTTACAATTCTGGAATTCCTTGTACTTCTCCACGTTGCTTCCCAGACTCTTTCTAATGTGTAACTAGTTGTTATTGTTGTTACTGTTGCTGCCTGATGGGAGCAACTTACACAGTGTCATCAGCACTCACTATTACATATGTCAACACGTTCCTTTTAGATTCAAGTGAGACAAGAAACTGATGTAGATGAGTCTATCGATCAATTCAAATACGATCGCTTTTACATCTTATTTGTACAGAATATATTATTTTTAATTCAAAACATAAATTTACTATGTTTCAGAATATAAATTTTATCAGCAATACTTACGTGTGCTATATTCATTATACTATGCTATCATAATATTACTAGTTATATTAATGCTGCTATTTCATAAAATATATAATTTGCATGTAATATATTTTGTACAAGTACAAGTAGGCAATGTCTTTTTACTAATGTGAATAATAATATTGCAAAGTAAACTTTTTTGTACAATCAATTGAAAATGGTCTTCATGTATCTGGTAATATATATAAATAACTGTCTTCTATCATTATTCATGATTAAATAAGGTACATTTTCTTTTTCAATTGTTAATATATGAAAAAAATATCAAATTATACATACACACCCACACATCATGCAATATAAAGATTTTCAATTTCTTGTTTTTATTATGTGGAAAAATTAAAATCAATTGGTTAACGAGTTTAATAAATAATATTATAATGCGAGACATAATTAATTTTATAATAGTTTTGCTAAATACTCATAACAAGCATTAGTAAATGTAATACTGAAAATCAATTAATTAAAAATACTTTCTATTGTTACTTCAGCACACATTATACTATAATTTACAACTACTTTTAACTGCCAATTTACTTATATTATTTAACTCTCAAAAATTAATATATATATATATATTTATTTATTTATTTATAGATTTTATATTACAAACAATTTGCAAATTTTTTCAATTATATATTTAAGAAAACTACTAAGAGAATTTTAATATATATTTCACAGTAAATGCTGCCATGGGAGCTAAAACAAAGTATATTCTAAACTATCTTAAATAAATTTCAAGGTACATCTTATAAGAGGATGTAAACTAGCAAACAAGGATATATGCAAAAGAAGGAAGGTCAAGTATATATATATATAATATATATTTGATAATGTTAATTAACATATTCCAGATTTCTTGAAATAAAATCTTATATACATTGTGTACTACATTCCAAAATCTATTAAAAGCATTTTTTCATGTTTTGTAGAGTATTGAAACAAACAATAATACAGAATTGTAAGACTTTGTAATATTGAACCGCCGTGTTCAATTTCTTTAAATATGCGGAAAAAGTTATGTGATATACATAATAGGTAATTATATATGTATATGTACATGTACATAGTGCAGTTTTAAAATGATGTTTATTTCAATACACACTAAACATTACCGAAAAATTATAAGCGTTCTGTATTGCGCTTCCGGCTATTAAAGAGTTATTGTATACGTTTATAATTTCTACAATCTTTTTAAATATATTGACTGCACGAAGTTACTAATTAGAGATATTTTGGTAATATCATATACAATTCATTTAAATATAATCCGCAGATTTATCATCTATAAAGTCTTTTGATCTCTATTAGAGAAATATTTAATGTGCAAACTTTATAAAAATGCAAACTTTTGTTCGAACTATATTATAAATATTAAATGCAACCATCAGCATTTTTATTGTGAGAGAAAAATAATAATTTTGCATCTATTAGCAATATTGTTTCTGTATAAATCAACACAATGTATATACATATAATTTATGTAATTGAAAATGACATATTAAAAAGCAATTTGGATAATATACTACTACTTTAAAATTATATATAATACAAATAGGTGTATAGTATAGATATATTAGTAATATCAAAGAATTACTATATAATAGTGTATGTCTAATGCTATATTTGTAAGTATGAAATTTGCTATATAAGCAAGGCATATTGATTAGAAATACTTAGATTAGCTTAGGTACAGTACATATGGTATTATCCAAGTATGGTACAATCTAAGCATGTATTAACATATATGAGAAATTTTTCTCAGAATATCAAAAATTCTGGTTATCTATTTAAAACAGATTTGAAACAAATTTTAAATCAGAATTCCAAATGAGCACATTATTATAGAACATCCAAAAGGCAAGTATAGACATTTTGGTAAGAAAATCAATATATGTTTTGTAACAAAAGCAAAATTATATACACCTGCACTGAGTATAATAGGACCATATATATAAAGAATATCATATTTGTAAAAAAAAAAAGAAAATTGTTTCAGTGGATTTAGTAAACTTGTGTATTCTCAATTATTATCAATACATTGCATTTTATTTTGTTGTTACTTGAAAATAATCGTTTTAACATGTTGTTTTATTATAAAACTATTTCATTTAATCTGTAATATTTATTTAATTGAAGTATTTATATTTATTGTCCAAAGTATTTAAAAAAAAAATGTAATATTTATTTTTTTTACTACATTTTATTTAATTAATTTCTACAATAAATAAGATTTATTGTGTTTATCTACTTTTATTTATTATAAGTTGAATCCATTGAAAAATTAATTATTTGGAAAAATTGATATAACTTACATCTATATTAAACATAATGATTCATAATATATAGAATGCATTTTAAAAGACCAAAGAAGTGTGTTAGCTATTGGAATAGTATTTTTTGGCCAATTTTGGTCTTTATTATACTCATTAAATTAAATAAAATATAATTATAATTAAAACATCATGAATATATGCTATGAAAGATTAACTGCTGTAAAAATCAATATAAAATTGCTATAGAAGCAAGGACCAATATTAGCCAATAAATATAATCCAAATATTGATATTTAAAATAGGAATTAACAGAATAAGCATATATACTGAAAAATATGTTCACTACACTTTGAGAAGTTTAAGTTAAATAAAATGTATAATCATATTTTATGAAAAAATGTAATGCAAACATTTTGCATTTATGAATATATTCTTTTTGTAGTTATAGTTACATTATAACTATAACAGCTTATTCATAAACATGATAAGATTGATGGTTCACAAAAGTTATATCTTGATATTTCTTATTGTTATATCTTTAAAAAAGTATATTTGTTTTTTAGGAAAATGTTTTTTTTTTTTAAGATTTTTTAAACACGTTATAATTTCTACAATTAATAATAACTCTATTTTAAACATATAACTCTTCGATAATATAATATTGTTTACTATAAAAATGACAAAACTCATGATGCATAGTAGTTTATAAATTAGCAATAATTCTAAATATTCTTTTGTTAATTATGCTAGCTGGTTTAGCATATTTATAGAGTAAAATTCACTCTTGCATTTTGTAAATCGATTTCATGATAAGACTAATATTTTTTTTTTTTTTTCATTATTTCTCGGTATAAAATACTATTATTATACTACTTTTATAATCACTTTGTTTATTCAATACAAACACCACATACAATTATCCTTACTGGAAAGATATATAGATGATAAGTGTAATATTTTTTTTTATATATATATAACATAATTTTTTTATTAAGTATATTAACACATGTTACTTCGTGTACCAAATCGGACACGTTAAAAAACTATTTAAGGAGTATTTTTTACTCCACATAAATCCAGTTTTTATAAAAATAAGTATCAAAGGCAAGTAAATGCATAATACCATCCTCCATTAATATTATATAAGATAAGTAATTAATTTAATGCAATATTATATAAAAACTTATAAACTATAATGGAATGTTACTTGATAAGAATAATATCACTTTTGAAGAAACGACTATTAATAATTGTACCGTAATATATGTAACAAGTGTGTATAAGTAGTAAAGTTAGCATTTAAATTGTTAACCAATCTAGAAATAATAACACACAAATTGTCAATGTTGTGTCTACGGTATGAGTCCTCAACAATGAAAATACATTTGTTTAATAAAACAATTTTATATTTTTTTTTACACCCCACATAGCCGCGTTTAATATTAAAATAACAAATTTATCATGATAAAGTAGGACTTGGAAAACTAGAAAGGAAAGAATTTGTTGTATTCAAAAATTTTTTTTTATTATACAAAATTCCAAAATTTGGCAAAAATACAAAAGGAATATTATACTTTCTGATTAAAATGTTAACATTATATGTTGCTCCAAAAGTAAGTTTACTTTTGCTTTTGGTTATATTTTTTTTCTAAAGCATTATATTAATTTATCAAATAGAGTCTAAGAATTACAGTGAATCTGAGATATCTATTGGTCTAATTGGATATCTAATATAAAAATGTGTTATATTAAAATATTATGTTTATGTACACATATAATAGTTATATATCTAATGTAATAATATAAAAAAGCAGCTCTAGTATGTACAATGCATTATCTACATTCATATTTATTTTATATTATTTAAATAAAATATACTATTGTATTTGCTATTAAATATGAGATTATAAGATATGTTAGGAAATAGTTGTCAAGATATATATTTTGAAAATATCCTTTCAAATATTGATAAAGCTATTTATGCATTAAAATTATAAGCGCATTGAACACTATAACAAAAAATAGCACCAAATAATTAAATTGATATTATTGGTATACTACATTTTCCAATTTACAAAATAATTATACATTTCTATTTGTAATTCTAAATAATCTTCTAGTTGTTTTACAAATGTTTTAGCAAGTAAATAAAAAATCAGTTTGTCTTATACATTAATCTTATAAAGTGTTGAAAATTG